GTGAGGAGGATGCTCAAGCTGATGACTTCGAGACACAGGTCCATGGACTGCTGATGACTGAGGTTGATGAACATGAGGCAGTAGACCGGAGGTATCGACTGCAAGGCAAACAACCAGCTCATCGACTACATCACCAAGGCCGACGACCTGGGGGGGAGGAAGTCTATACAGCGGTGAAGGTGCTGAGCAAATCCCGGAACACTGTGGACCTGAACAGGTACCAAGAGTGTCAAGGGTGTGGACTCCAAAAAGTCGCAGTTGAAAGGGAGCGCAGGGTGTGTGAAACGCCGAAAGAAGAGAAGAATGTGGAGGAGATCGTTGTAGAGGGCATCAAGAGCATCACGAAAGAGGTGCAAGTGATGAATGAACTCCGACAAGGGCTCCAACAGGTGATTGTGGATGAGGTGGCCATGAGCATAGCACCAGAAGGCCAGGCAGACGCGCGCATTAGGCAGCTGAGAAGAGATGCTGTGTGGCTGGATCGAAGAATCCAAGAAGACCAACAGGAGATCGCCCACATCATGAAAGCAGTGGGAACGGGGGAGAAGGAAGCAACTCCACAGGAAGCAGAGGTACTGCAGACCTATCTGGTCGGAACAAAACAAATCCTCGAGGAGAAAGATTTGTGCAGATTCCCCCGGTGGAAAGTGAGGTTATGGTGTTGGAGAACACTAGCGCACTAGTGAGGAAAACGCCTGAGGAGGTGAAGGCACTGGCGCAATCAGGCATCTACATCGAGATCATCCCGGGCAAGCTACTGTGCAGTCGGAAGGCACCATGTGGAAGAAGAAAGGCAAGGATTGTGGGGTGTGGAAACTTTGGCACGCCTGATGAGACGGTGACAACATCAACAGGAGGCATCGATGCAGTGGCACTGAGGGTTCTAATGATGGTCGCAAGCCAGAGGGGTTGGACATGTGGTTCCACAGACATCAAAAGTGCGTTCTTGCAGGCACCAAAGAGAAGTGCAGCACATCGGGTGACCCTCGTGAAACCACCTCAGCTAGTGACCCAGTTAGGGATCGTGCCACCTGGAACAATGTGGGCGGCAGAGGGTGCCTTGTATGGGTTGAGAGAGTCGCCAGAGGACTGGGCTTGCCATCGCAATCAGTGCCTGAGAGGAGCGACATGGAGCTGCAATGGACATGCACGACGAATCCAACAGTTAGCTCAGGCCAATGTGTGGAAGATTGTGAACCTAGATGGTGAGGTGAAGGCCTACTTGGGGACGTATGTGGACGACCTGATCATGGTGGGGCCAACAGAGGAAGTCACATCTGTGCTCCGTAAGGTGGAGGCCATCTGGGAGTGCTCGGGCAGCCAAGTGCTCGAGAAAGAAGGACAGGAGCTGAAGTTCTGCGGGTTCCAAGTGCTTCGAACAAGCAACGGCTACAAGTTGCACCAAGGAGACTACATCCTGGACCTCTGTGACAAGAAGGGAGTGACGGGCCCATCAGTGTGGAAGGGAACGGTTCTTCAGGAGGCAGAGGATGAGAAGTTCGATATCGCAACATTGAGGGAGGCACAGACCCTCGTTGGAGAACTTCAGCGGGTCACGTGCAGGAGCAGGCCAGATGTCTGTCACGCCACAGGAGTCCTGAGCCGAGCAATGCACCGTCGTCCGAGAGAAGTATGTGAACAGGCAAGAGCAATCCTGACTTACTTGAAGGACACTGCTGATCGTGGCATCAACTTCTGGAAGGCAGGTGAACACCTACTGGGCGAGAAGGAAGAGCTTAAGTTCCCAAGGGGAGAGGCTGACGTTGAAGCATATGCAGATGCATCATTTGCACCAGCAGCGGAAGCTTACAAGTCTGTTCACGGAACGATTGTGATGGTAGCTGGTTGTCCCATCTTGTGGAGCTCGGCGAGGCAGCCATTCATCACGGGCTCAACAGCGGAAGCGGAGTTGGTGGCCTATACGGAGGTCTTCCAGCAGGCTGAAGGGGTGGCAACATTGCTCGAAGCTCTGGGCATCGAGAATGTGAGGAGGTCACTATATGGGGACAACAAGAGTGCATTGGCACTGTGTCAGGGTGATGTGGGTGCGTGGAAGACTCGCCACCTCCCTCCGACTACGTGCAGCTGGCCTAAGGGCGGCGGTGGGCTGTGAGGTCAGTGGCTGGTACACACATCATGTCAAGGGGACAGAACTACCAGCTGATGGACTCACGAAGCAACTTTTGAGGGGCATTGGCAGTCCTGTGTGCTGCAGCACTCTTTGCGAGTGGGACTGAATCGCAGCTGGTAGATTTGGTGGCGCTTGCACTCATGCTGGCAGGAGTCACCTGGTTGAGGAAGATTCAGAAAAAATTGGATAGGGAAGATAAACCATCCCTGGGGGGACCTGCTCCCAAGCAGGGGAAACCGCCATGAGGGCACGAAATGAACCCATGGTGGAAGATACAAAAGAAAAGAAAGGATCGGACCAGACCAGAAGAAGAGTGGCGAGGGCCCAAAATGAACCCGCCAGGGGAACACATCATCCTGACAGTAGCCCAACGGGCTCCCGACAGGGTCAGAGTGGTGACCATAAGACCACAACGCGCCCGCGAGCCATGGTGAGAATGCTGCAAGTGGATGATGGCGGCCCACCGAGAGCACGGCCGCACGAACCATGGTGGCATCCTCCATTCCACGTGCCTCCAACAGGCACTACGGACCGCTGGCAGGTGGTGGAGAATTTTGTGGTGAGGGTTCACTGCAAGATGAGGTACCAGAGATGCCATCCAATTCACAGCTCATACCCGCTGAGAGATGAGCAGATTTTGACGGGCAGGAGGGTGACCATCAAATACATTGGTGGAGAACAACCAGGCCGACCTTCGGAAGACTCGTGGATTGAGCCACCAACAAGAGAGAGCCGGACGAGCAATAAGATTGAGGGGAGGTGGAATGGCTATACGTTCTTTGAACTGCATAGCCCGGTGCATGGAGCAAAGGCAGCGAGCTACTATGTGGGGACAAGGCCAGTTGGGGAGTGGGCTCGACAAGAGCACACACTCCCTCCACACCTTCGTATACCGGAGGACATGAGGGCTGAAGAAGCAGCTGATCTACGCCATCGACGAGTGCATGATCCTGTGGGCACTGGGTTGACGACGGAAAGGACTGCAAGGTCTTCGGCAAGCACGGATGGACCAATGAGGGTGGAAGAAAGACCACCGATCAACTCAACGGCAAGCGCATCAACAGCGCTGCTACCAGGTGCAAGGGCGAAGACAACAGGGAGGATTGGGAAACCTCCTCCTCCCACGCCGCCCATGGAGCGATGGACTGGACTTCCAGAGGGGCTGAGGTTGGCGCTGCAGGCACTGACAGACTCAGAGCGAGACTGGGAGAGACCACCTGGATCTGAACCCATTTATTGGGTGCAGGTCGGAAACCGCATGTTCCATCGGAACGACTTGATGAGACAGGCCATCATGATGGAGCAACAACCAGATGCTGAAGTTCCTCAACTGCAGTTGACCTTGGTAGACGGTCGCACGGACAATGGAACTCCGTGCTACATTGCGACAGCAATGCCGGAGGGGGGGTCGAGTGGAAGTGGTACGATCTCGTCAACACTCCCCACGGCTACGACAGATTGGTCGACCCCGGACTCTACAAGGGCACAAGCTGATGGAAGCTTGGGAAGTGCGGCATCGGCGTGCCAAGGCCTACATCGACGAGGTGGAGGTGAGCAGCAGCCGAAGGCGATGGCCTCATACCCGCGACCGCCCCCGGGCTTGCAGCAGGAGGCTACAAGTGCCTATGGAATGTTGATCGAGGCAAATCAGACCCCATCTCTGAGTGGAAGCGCGGAGTCACCGTATGTGTTTGACTGGCCGGAAGATGACCGGATCAGTTGGAGTAGATTGAGGGAAGAGGGCAATACGCCCTAGGGCCTTGAGCTGTTCGCGAGCGTCGCGAAGGGGGAGTGCAATGATCACTCACATTTTGTAAAGATGAACTAGATGTGAAACCACGTCGACGGCCTTACCGAAGGCCCTTTTTATGCCCAAGAGAAAAGGTGCGCAACTTCGCGTGGGTTTTCACTTCTAATTGAACAAGCCTTTCAATTTCCACGATTTGCGTGCACGGCCAAACCTAGTACGCCCCCAAGCCTCAAAGGAACGTCACTGCACACATGCTTGCAGGAAGAAAGGACACTGCAGACGGTGAGACCAATCGTGAAACCAACCATTTATATACCATCCTCCCACAACAGCAGGAAAAATCGAAACTGTACCTACAAAATCTAGAGCGCCCATATTATGCGTTGGTGGTATCCATAGATGACATGGTCCCGCTCTGCCCCTGTGCGCAGGTTACACAATGCAGTCAGGAATCTGGAACGGGGTCAAACGATGGTTGCTAGGCAGTAAGTAAACAAAGACTTCAATGCGGCTCAAAGGGCCATCTGACACGCTGGGAGAGGTGGGCCTACATTTGCAAAATGCAGGTCTCATTGCGAAGCGCTTGCTTACCTTCTATATCTTCTTCAAATCTCATGCAAATTGGTTGGCAAATCTATATTTTCTTTGTGCCTTTTGGATCTTCTTCGCTTCTTCACCTTGCCCTGATTCTTTTTGTTAATGATGCGGCGAAGCTGAACTTGCCATTCGCGAGGTGGCGTGCGTCCCCGAGTCGAGTCCCCGATATTGAAAAAGCAGTTGCCTACTCTTTAGGTTGCCCTCGATCCAGCATCATGCCCAAGTGTCCCCGCTGGACCAAAGCATTAATACAGAACACATCAGAACACTGAGGTGAAGGAAGCTTCGTAGCCCACTTACAGCGTAGCCAGCACGCTCGGTAGACCGGTCAGTGCGGCGCATAGCACCGCTTTGCGATCGCTTCGGTTGGGGGACCCTTTCGAAACGCGGGCCGGATGACATGTCAATCATCGGGCGTTATCAAGTTCTTACATCAACATATCATATCCCATCTAAGTTGATACTGTTGGTCAAAGAGCCTGCGGGACAAGCTAACGCATTTGGATCTGTTGGGTTTCTGGCCAATTGAAAGAAGTGCGAGGCAAGCTCGCTTGTTGGGAGGCCATGGACAAGATGGGCGCATCACGCCACCTGCAGTGAAACAAATTAGGCCCGTGCAACATTGGACGCAATCTGATCATCTGAGCGTGGCTGCCAGCTCGAGTCCGACATGGCAAGCTTGATCGCGCATAACAAACCTCAAAAGGACAAGTGACTTGGGGCGAAGGATGCCAAATTTTTGCGGACTTGCAGGCCCTGCTCAATCCCTGTACAAAAAAACGCAAGCACTTGAGCAAAACAAAGGAAACTTAAACAAAAAATGGCTGGCACACCCACGCCTCCAGAACCGCCGCGGCCTGAAATCTTGGTCCGGCCCAACGTTGCATCACGCAACGTCTACTTCCTTGGATCAGCCGGGCCATGCCGCTGGGAGAAGCTTAACTGCAAACACAGATTTGTTGCCACCTCGAATGTGGACGGCCTGACAGTCACAAGGTGTCAAGGAACTCAAATTTTGTGCCACTCCGTCTTGCCATCTGGAGGCCCTTTGGATCTGGGCTTCTCAGTTGTGTCTCATCGCTTTGTTTGAACTTGCAAGCGAATGAAGTGAATCAAATTGGATACTATTGCTTATATACTCAGATGTATATATTTACAGTAAGTATAAATACTACCTGACAAGGGAGGGGACGAAAGCCAGCCTCTGACTTGGGGGGTGCTCTCAGGGTAGGCCCGGGCAAAGACTTGGCGATAACGTCGGGCAAAGATTAAAGTGAAGTTGACATCCCAGCCACACCGATAATTAGGGGGGTAGAAATGGAAAGAAGACATAGGTCTGGGAAGGGTGCCCTTTTTCGCCCCGGTTCAGGGGTGATTTGGAGGTGAAAAAGGGCACCCGTCAGGAAGTGAGGCGCGCTTGCCGGCGGCGTCGAGGCAATGGGTAGGGTAGGTGGGGAGATATGCTACGGATAAAAGGGCACCCCTAAGCTAGTCAGGACCTTTTCTCTCCAACATTCTCCAACGCTTGCCCGCTGCAACCTCTTCTCTTTTCTGCCCCCAACTGAACTCCCACCACATAGGGAGTGCTCTCTTGAGTGCGGTTCCCTCGCAGGCCATCGACACATGGCATCATGCACCCCATATGGGGCGCCCTTTTGACTCCAGTAACTAGACCTTGCCACGGAGGAAAAGGGCACCCCACTATGTGGTGGGGCTGGGGGTAGGAGAGAGAAAATGGCAGCGGGCAAGCTTTGGAGACAGAAGGTTCTGAATAGCTCAGGGGTGCCCTTTTTTTCCATAGCAAGGTCTGGTTGCTGGACTGAAAAGGGCACCCCACATGGGTGCATGATGTGTTGAGGGTCTGCGAGAGAACCGAACTGAAGAGGGCGCTCCCTATGTGGTGGGCGTTCACGTGGATAGGGGGGTTGGGCAGGAGAGAGAGAAGAGATTGCAGTGGGCAAGCGTTGGAGGCGGAAGGGATGCCCTTTTATATTCGTAGCAAGGTCTAGTTGCTGGACAATCAAGCTCGCCCGACATGGGGCGCATGATGCCATCTGTTCAGGGCCTGCGAGAGAACCGAACTGAAGAGGGCACTCCCCATG